AAATAAATGGGATTAAATCGGAGTATCTGAGAGAGTTAGAGCAAAGGAAGGGGGAGCAGTAATGTTAAATGATCATTATGGAAGGAGAAAAGAGAATATGAATGTGTAAATTCAAGAATTATGTGGATTAAAGTAAAGGTTGGATGCGAGAAGTGGGTCATAATAAGCGTGTAGGGCACCTGGAGAAGAGAGGAATGCAGAGGAGAGAGAGAGATTTTTTGGGAGATGTTAAGTGAATGTATAGGAGCCTTTGAACCAAGTGAGAGAGTAATTGTTGGTGGGGGACTTGAATGCTAAAGTAGGAGAAATTTTTAGAGAGGGTGGGGGTAGGTAAGTTTGGGGTGCCGGGTTTGTAATGATAAGGGGACCCCTTTTTGATTGAACTTTGTATAGAAAGGGGTTTAGTTATAGGTAATAAATATTTTAAGAAAAAGAGGATAAATAGTATACACGATATGATGTAGGGCGAAATGACAGTAGTTTTTTGGGATTATGTATTGGTAGATAAAAGACTGTGAGTAGACTTCAGGATGTAAAATTTTTTATAGAGGGGCCACAAAATATATCAGATCATTTTCTAGTTGTAGCTACACTGAGAGTAAAAGGTAGATGGGATACAAGGAAAATAGAAGCATCAGGGAAAGAGAGGTAAAGGTTTATAAACTAAAAGAGGAGGCAGTTAGGGTAAGATATAACAGCTATTGGAGGATAGATGGGCTAATGAGAGCATAGGCCAATGGGGTCGAAGGGGGTATGGGGTAGGTTTAAAAATGTAGTGTTAGAGTGTTCAGCAGAAGTTTGTGGTTACAGGAAAGTGGGTGCAGGAGGGAAGAGGAGCGATTGGTGGAATGATGATGTAAAGAGAGTAGTAAGGGAGAAAAAGTTAGCATATGAGAAGTTTTTACAAAGTAGAAAGTGATGCAAGGGGGGAAGAGTATATGGAGAAAAAGAGAGAAGTTAAGAGAGTGTGAAGCAATGTAAAAAGAGAGCAAATGAGAGAGTGGGTGAGATGTTATCAACAAATTTTGTTGAAAATAAGAAAAAGTTTTGGAGTGAGATTAACAAGTTAAGAAAGCCTAGAGAACAAATGGATTTGTCAGTTAAAAATAGGAGAGGAAGTTTTTTAAATGGAGAGTTAGAGGTATTGGAAGATGGAAGGAATATTTTGAGGAATTGGGTTTAAAAGTTGATGAAGATAGGGAAAACTGTGATTTCGTGTATAGGGCAAGGAGGAATAACATCTTGTAGGAGTGAGGAAGAGCCAGTTGTGAGTGTGGGGGAAGTTCGTGAGGCAGTAGGGAAAATGAAAAAGGGGGGAAGGCAGCCGGGATTGATGGGATAAAGATAGAAATGTTAAAAGCAGGTGGGGATATAGTTTTGGAGTGGTTGGTGGGAATTATTTAATAAATGTATGGAAGAGGGTAAGGTTTCCTAGGGATTGGCAGAGAGCATGCATAGTTCCTTTGTATAAAAGGCAAAGGGGATAAAAGAGAGTGCAAAAATTTTAGGGGGATAAGTCTGTTGAGTGTACCTGGTAAAGTGTATGGTAGATTATAATTGAAAAATTTAAAAGTAAACGGAGAATAGGATAGCAATGAAAAGGAGGCTTTTGGGAAAAGGGAGGGGGTGTGTGGACCAGGTGTTTACATGAAAAATATAATGAACAGTATTTGTAAGGGGAAAAAGGGTCTTTTGGCATTTTTGGATTTGGAAAAGGCGTTACAGGGTGGATAGGGGGGGAATGTGGAGGGTTTTAAGTTTTGGTGAGGGGGTAGGTTTCTAAAGAGTGAAGATTTTTACGAGGGTAGTGAGGCCAAGTTAGAGTATGTAGGAAAGAGGGAAATTTTTTCCCAGTAAAAGTAGGCCTTAACAGGATGTGTGATGTCCCCGTGGTTGTTTAATATATTTATGATGGGGTTGTAAGGAGAAATGCGAGGGTCTTGGCAAGAGGCGTGGAGTTAAAAAAGATAAAGAATCACACACAAGTGGGAGTTGTCACAGCTGCCTTTGCTGATAACTTGCTTTTGGGGAATTCTGAAGAAAGTTGCAGAGATTGGGGGTAAATTTTTTGGTAGGGTGTGCAAAAGAAAAAAATTTAAAAGGGAAACGGGAAAAGTAAGGTTATGGGATAAAAAAAAAAAAAAAAAAAAAAATTAGGTGATGAAAGATTAAATACAGATTGGAGGGGAGAGTAGGGAGGAGGGAACGTATTCAGATTTTGGGGAGTGGCGTGCCAGCGGAGGGGTCTATGAAAGATGAGGTGAAAACTAGAATTGATAGGGAAAAAGAGTGAGTGGTGCACTTAGGGTCTGTGGAGACAAAGAACTTTGTCCTTGGAGGAAAGAGGGGAATGAGAGAGATAGTTTTCCCAAACGCCTTATATGGGTGTGAAGCGGTGGGTGATGAAGTTGAGCGAGGAGAAGGCTGGAGGCAGTGGAGAGTCTGTCTGAGGGCAATGTGTGGTGTGAATATAAAGCAGAGAAAATTTGTAGTTTGGGTTAGGAGGGGTGGGGGATTTCCAAAACTGTTTCCAAGGGGTGAGGAAGGGTTGTTTTTAGGTGGTTCGGACATGAAGAGAGAATGGAGCGAAACAGAATGACTTCAAGAGTGTATCAGTCTGTATGGAAGAAGGGGGGTAGGGGCGGCCCAGGAAGGGTTGGAGGAGGGGGTAAAGGGGTTTTGTGTGCGGGGGCTTTGGGCTTCCCGCAGCATGTGAGCTGTTTGATAGGATGAAGGAGACAAATGGTTTTTTAATACTTTACGTGCTGTTGGAGGTGAGCAAAAATAACTTTTTTGAAGGGATTCAGGGGAAAACCGGGAGGCGGACTTGATCCTGGAGATGGGAAATACAGGCCGCACTCTGAAGGAGGGGTGTTAATGTTGCAGTTTAAAAACGTAGTGTAAAGCCCCCTTCGGCAAGAAGTGATGGAGTGAATGAGGGTGAAAGTTTTTTCTTTTTCGGGCCACCCTGCCTTGGTGGGAAAATCGCCGGTGTATAATAAAAAAAAAAAAATAAATAAAAATAAAAAATAATAAATATCTTTATTTCTACAGTACTGTACAAGGTATCAGGCCTAGCGACCGAAAGAAGTAAGAAATTTTTATTCAGGTATACCAAATACAGTTCATAAAATTTAATCATCATAGCATATATTGTGAGAACCAGGATAACCCAAAAAGCGGGACTTATTTTTTTGGGCCCTTTTACCTTTTTTAAAATATAAATGTTTAAATTTTTTATTTATTCTAAAATGAAGATAAATCTTTTATCATAAAAAAAGCTACCTACTACACAGGGTCTTTAAAGACCTCTACAATACGAGGGACACTCTACAATACGAGTGACATACTCGGGAAGAAAGGCACTTTTTTTGCTAGTATTTTCAAAAAATTAGGTCGTGTCCCAGGATAAAACCCCCACACTATCGGTTAAAAACACCAGGTCCCCTTTTACTGAGGGGTTAAACATAGAAAAACAGGCGTAAAGAAATGCGCCTAATGTTTCTACCCTGGCTGGGAATCGAATATTTACCAAAAATCATATATGGCTAATCCAAGCCAGGTACTAAAAATAAGCCACGTTGACTTTTTTGGGGTTATCCTAGGTTCTCTACACATATGCTGCTATGTGTCATAATCTATAGAGAGAAAATAACTTTTGTTTCATGTTTATGGTGGAGTACGAGTGTATATCATAGTTAGCCCTGTGCTATACTCAGTTTTCTCTAATATAAGCCACCAAGACAAGGATAGGAGAATGGTATTTGTTTACCATATCCTGTTGTTAGGTAAGACACATATGCAACAGTTAGGTATCTTTATTTCGAAACGTTTCGCCTACACAGTAGGCTTCTTCAGTCGAGTACAGAAAAGTTGATAGAAGCTGAAGATACTTGAAGACGATGTAATCAGTCCATCACCCTTAAAGTTTTGAGGTGGTCAGTCCCTCAGTCTGGAGAAGAGCATTGTTCCATAGAATGAAACAATATGGAGATGAAGTGACAGGATGGAGCTTTATATAGCGCCAAACAGGTGAGACGTAGGTCACTAGAAGAGGTAAGAACTCAGATGTTGGGAGGTCAGGTCCCTCTCAAATCCAGCCGTCCTCACTAGTAGAGGTTGTGTACGAATGGTATATAATCTCACCTCACTAGTAGAGGTTGTCGAAGTTGATTGTAGGTCTGTACCAAGATACCCTTGTGCAAAAGACTTGGCAGACGATGCACCATCCCCCCAATGAAAAGCAGGGGTGTCACTAGCACGTTAAGAGACCATACAATAAGTGTCAGGGGCCCGAGACTGTTCAACTGCCTCCCAGCACACATAAGGGGGATTACCAACAGACCCCTGGCAGTCTTCAAGCTGGCACTGGACAAGCACCTAAAGTCAGTTCCGGATCAGCCGGGCTGTGGCTCGTACGTTGGTTTGCGTGCAGCCAGCAGCAACAGCCTGGTTGATCAGGCTCTGATCCACCAGGAGGCCTGGTCACAGACCGGGCCGCGGGGGCGTTGACCCCCGGAACTCTCTCCAGGTAAACTACTACTACTACTAGTATTGCACCTCGCTCTCAAGCCTATATATACCCTCTGTGTCCATATACTGTTTGTAACAGCTTAACAAAGCTCCTGGAGAGCGAAACGTTGCCACAATAAAATGTCACATTAGTTGCACTTGTGTCCTTTTACTTCACATGTATATTCCTGACAATCATCTGGTCAACATATTTTCCCCCTTCCTCACCTCCGTATATACCTCAGAGCCACATATATACTCTGAGAGCCACATATCCACCAAGTTAAGCAACATATATACCCTATATATATATATATATATATACACACAAAGTAGAGGAAGCTATATACTCAACCCTGACCATCAGCTGGTTGACACATTTCTCCTATCTCAGCTCCATATATACCTCAGAGCTTCATATATACCTCGACAAGTTATGTATTTACTAATTTAAGCCACATATATACCTTAGAAAGATAGATATATACCTGGGGAGGGATAATAAGTATATTCCTCTGACAATCAGCTGGTAGACATAGCCACAACGTCAACAAGTGTCCGGATCCTTGCATTCAGTGTCCGGATGCCTGCCTAGTAGACTTGAAACAAATTAGAAGTTAATTAAAACATTTCTTCCATTGCTTTTTTCTACTTTAATAAGTGTTTTGCATATTATACCAAAAAGTTTTCTTCCTTTTAAAGCTGGTATATGACTTAAAGGGAAAATAAACTGGAATAAGTCACGAGTCCCTAAATTATGTCCGGATCTCTTCAAAAGGACTTCGAATAAAGCCAAAATTTAAAAAAAAAAATAATAAATAAAAAATACCTGCAATATTGTATCTACTTGAAATTCAAAATTTATTAGCTGGTTACATCTGATAAATGAATTATACTGAAAATAAGTTGGAAATGATGGAAAATGAAAACGAATGAAAATGTTTATTTCCTTGAAGATTGAGACACTTATGTGACATATGGGAATCTTTATGGAACATATGGGAATCTTTATTGCGGAAACGTTTCGCCATACAATGGCTTCATCAGTCCACTACAAAGTGTAAGGAGAGGAGGAGTTTGAGGTAATCAGTCCCTCAGCCTGGAGTCGATGTGTTCAATCCATCAGTCTTGTAGAATGTACAACATAGGTTATATATATATATACCGTAGACGTGACTTATATACTGTAGTGAGGTGAGGTGAAGCAGGAGGAGGCGGGGTCATAGTGGTACCATCCACTAGTCAATTCAATTCAAGTTTATTCTCTATAATGGTTACAATGTGGGGTTTACAGGTTTTGGGTATTGTGTGGTTTACATGTTATAAAATACTAATTACAGAGGGGGTCACTAGGACACCTAGCATGGCTAGGCATTTCGGGCAGACTTAGATTAATTCTTAACATTAAATCCTTACAGATTATGGTATTAAGGCTAAGTGACTACATCATAATTTGTGAGTTTAGCAATGTGAATGCTTTTGTTTTGGCACAATACAAAGTGTCTATATTGGAGTATCATAGGCAAACTTAGGACTAGTTTGGATTTATTATTTTAAGATTAAGATTAGTATTTATGGGTTTATAGTCAGTGGGTGAGTGAGTGTAATTGTGAACATGTAGATATCATGTAGTAATTGTTATCATGTAGCTAGTTGTCGGGGTGAATCAGGGAGATAAGATGTTTTCTAACTGTAGTTTTGAAAGTGATGAATGTGTCTGCAGTTCTAGAGTTTTCAGGTAGGGTGTTCCAGATTTTAGATCCTTTGAAATACATTGAATTTTTTGTAAAGGTTTAGTCGAACATGGGGAATGTCATAGAGATGTTTGTGTCTGGTGCTATGCCTGTGGATCCTGTCACAACTGTCAAGAAAGCGTTTTACGTCAACGTTAATATTGGAATTTAAGGTCCTGTAGATATAGATTGCACAGTAGTAAGTGTGGATGTTCTGAACAGGGAGTAAGTTTAGATCTATGAAGAGTGGGGGGGTGTATTGCCAGGGATGGGATTTAGTGATTATTCTTACTGCGGCTTTTTGTTGGGTTATTATTGGTTTAGGTGTTTTTTG